CCACCCCAGCACGACCACACCCCACACGACCACACCCCAGCACGACCACCCCCAGCACGACCACACCCCAGCACGACCCGCACGACCACGCACGACCAGCACGAGCAGACCACGACCCAGCAGCACGACCTTACCACGCACGACCAGCACGACCACGCCCCAGCACGACCACGCCCCAGCACGACCACGCCCCAGCACAACCACCCCCCAGCACGACCACCCCCCCAGCACGACCACCCCCAGCACGACCACCCCCCAGCACGACCACACCCCAGCACGACCACTCCCCAGCACGACCACACCGCCTTGGTTGAGTGGTTGCCTGTCGTCGTGGAATGTTTCGTGGGGTGTCTCGTGGAATGTTTCGCGGGGTGTCTCGTGGAATGTTTCGTGAGGTGTCTCGCGGAATGTTTCGTGAGGTGTCTCGTGGGATGTTTCGTGAGGTGTCTAGTGGGATGTTTCGTGAGGTGTTGCCCCGTTGGGTATCGTGAAAACGAGCCCATGCTCCACATGTCTATATCCCTTTCCGGGTTCGTGGGTCCATCATGTCTCTGTCTGGGGAGGTCCCGAGGTAATCAGGAAACTCTAACTTGTTGAGGTAAGTGGCCCGACCTCGCGCTTTTTCTCCGTGTCTCGTTGTTTCCTGAATGTTCTCTGATGCTCGTGCCTGTGTCTCGTTGTTTCTCCATACTTCTCTATGTTTAATTTTGTTTTCTGTATGGGGAAGTTCCGAATTAGGAAACCCGAACCTCCAGAGATTAGTATTCCAACCTCCCTCTGAGTATGTATGTTCTCTGTTTCCCGTCGTTTTCCTTATGATTGCAATTGTGATCCCAAGTTTGGCTTTGTTTCTTTATGCTTGTCCCTGCTACCCTCTGTATGGGGAGGTCCCGAGGGATGAAACCCTGACCTCTGGCTCTGTTTCCCTTTGTACGGTGAGACCCCGTGGTAGGACATCCTAACTTCCATAGGTTAGTGTTCCAACCTCCCTCTTTCAATGTGTTTCTCTCTGCTTCACGCTGTCTCATTATGTCTGTCTTTGCGTCCCCATGCTTGTCTGTGGTTCCTCATGTTTGTCGCTGTTCCCCTCTGTATGGGGAGTTCCCGAGGTAGGACACCCTAACCTCTGGAGGTTATTGTTCCAACCTCGCCATTTCTCTCTGTGCCTATGTGTGTTTCTCATGTTTCCTTCTGTTATTTCGCATCTGTTTCTCGCTGTTTCTTCTATGTTCCTGTATGCTTCTCTATGCTGCTCTTGATCTTCTGTATGGTGAGGTCCCGACGTAGGGAACCCTAACCTTCGGAGGTTAGTGTTCCAACCTCTGGTCCCGACCTAGGGAACCCTAACCTCCAGTGTTTCTCCCCAATTACTCCCATCTGGCCTCAACAGGCCCCCCAAGCAGTTCCAGCTGGCCTCAACAGGCGCTCCGAGCACTGCGGGGTGGTCTCAACACATTGGCGCCGCCTTCGGTGGCGCCGCCTTCGGGGCTCTCCGCGCCTCAGGGGTGATGTGTTGGGACCGCCCTGGGCTGCTCGGGGGACCTGTTGAGGCCAGTTGGGACCACTCGGGTGGCCTGCTGCGGCCAGCTGGGACTACCTGGGGGTCCGTCCGTGCGCAGTACGTTGCACTACCAGCTCGGCGATTGGCACCCAGGGAAGCGCACGCGTGGACTAAGGCGCGTGGACTAAGGACGTGTCCACTTTCCGTACAGAATAGGCGCGCTCCAGCGGCAATGGTGGGCGGCATTGGCTTCATTTTTCGTGGGTACCTTCCCCAATCCGTATCAGCGTGTGCCCACTGCTACGGTCAGGAACGATTGCTTCACGTGTCTCGCGCCGCTGGTTCTGGCCCACCACCATTGGCGGGACACGCCAACCACGTCCCAGTCCCCAGGCGTCAACGGCACGGGCTTTTCCCAGCCCCCCGTGCCGCGAAGTGGAGCGGCACACTACCGGCTCGCGGGGCATGGCGTGTCGCAGGGGTTGCCGCCTCGACGCGCCGTGCAGAAGCTCCAGGCCGCAGAATCCCACCCTGCCAAGTCGATCAACGATTTGCCGCTTTTCGGTTCTCGAGTGTTGCGGCCGCCCACCCTGCCAAGTCGATCAGCGATTTGCCGCTTTTCGGTTCTCGAGAGAGTGTTGCGGCCGGATTGTTTGCGAGTTTGCGCCCGCCAGATGGGGCTCGGTCGTTTTCACCAAGCGGTGTTGTGCTACAGGTTGCTTGCGGCTTTCGACCTCTTGCTGCTGCATGTTGGCACCCACGCGAAGGCTTGCATGGTCTGAGCGTGGCTCTCTTCCCGTCGGGCTCTCCCCCGCCCTCCCCCCCGCGCCCGCGCGATCTTTCCCCGCCCCATCGTTCCTCGTTGCTCTGGTGCACCCTGCCGCTGAACGCACGTTGCTTGATCTCTCGCGGCCGCTGGCTAAAACAGTGTTGCTAAAAGTGGTTCTGCCCACTCATGGATTCGGGACGATCGATATTGTACGAAGGCCGACAGCATTTCACGCTCACTGTGAACAGGACTCGCTGTCGGTGTCGCCGCGGACGTTGTCTATTTGAGATAGAAGGCCGCCTGCCCAAAAGCAGCCGCTGTCTGTTTTGGACAACGGTTGTTGTTGTTGTTGTTGTTGTTGCTGCTGCTGTTGTTGTTGTTGTTGTTGTTGTTGTTGGGCATCGTAAATGTTTGTCGTACGGTGGGGCGTTGATTAAGGAATGTGCCCAGGAGGCGTCTGACGTTGGAGGGTTCCTTATCTGATGAGGGTGGCGGTGATACGAATGGCCGAGCCTCAGTTTGAATTTCACTGGCTTCCAGACCTTGGATTCTTAGTCCAATGGTTTCGTTTCCGGCGTCCTCACCTTTATCGCCCCCCGTTAACGACGTCGTTGTCTTCTTACTTTGCAGGGCCCCCGGGGGCCACGATACGTTACCGAGTCCATGCGAAGAGCTCGGTCTCCGTATACTCCGTCTGGAATCAGCCTCTCCCGAATGCATCGTCGATGCGGCTCGATCATCCGACCCCATCTAAAAGGACCCCCCATCCAGGGGTCCTCCGTGCGCAGGCTTCGGTCGCCCAAGTGGATCGCTCGCGCGCACCCCGCCCCCGCACGAGGCTCTGCGGGGGGTGGGCTGCTCCAGTGCGCGCTCGTGCCGCCGGAGGGTCTCTTCCCCCCCCCCCTCCCTGAGGGCTTCACGACCCGAGGCCAATCGACTCGTGGGGATCAAGCCGGATGAATGGAGGTAACTGTCAATAGATCGAGGGAAGTCCAGGGAAATACGAGGAAGCCCAGGTAATTCCATGCAAATCCAGAGATTTCCAGTGAAATTTGGAGAACATCGTGGCCGCTCCAACGCGAGTCGAGGGATGGCAGAAGTCGTCAAGCCCTTAACGAGGCCTCCCCCCGCCGCCCAACTCGTGCTTCGCCTGCACCCGAGGAGAAGATCCTCTCCTCCCCTCCACTCGCAGGAGATTCTTCTCCCTCAGGCGCGGCGCAAGAATGCAATGACGCAAGCACGATGGCAAAGAGGCATGTGCGCATGAAAGCATAGAAGCGCCGAGGGCGCACAGTACCGTTGGAATCCTGGCGAACACTCTGCAAACACGCCGCAAACACGCTGCAAATAATGCGGCCATGGTGAGCGTGCAATCCATGCCCAAAGGTCATTCAATCGCTTCGCTCATTCCGCCTGCCCATATTGCATGATCGCTACTGCTTCGCCGTGGGCTCGGGGCCATTGTGGCGCCGCCGAGGAGGAGGAAGATGAGGATGGGGAAAGGGAGGGTTTGAGGAGGAGAGGATGAGGATAACAGGAGGATGATGAAGATAAGTAGGAGGAGGAGGAAGAGGAGGAGGGGGCGGAGGAGGAAGCCTCTCGTTGGCATCTTGTGTTGCTCTTGGGGCCAAACAGGGTCGTCGTCAAGATGCTTCTTTGGGAGGCCTCTTGGGGTTTTTTGAGTAGCCGTTCGGGGGCGCCTGGGAGGCATTTTTGAAGCCTTCTGGGGCCTCTTGGGGCATCTTTTGGGCCTCCTGGGGGCCTCCTGGGGCCTCTTGGGGGCCTCTTGGTGGCATCTTGGGGCCTCTCGGGGCCTCCTGACCCTCTTGGGGCGGAAGGCTCGAGTTTTCGGTTCATGGTCCCCCTCTTGGGCCCTTCTTGGGGCCGTTTTGGAGCTGTCTTGGGCCGTCTTGAGCGCCTCTTGGGCCGTCTCGGGGCCCTCTCTTGGAAGCCTCTTGGAGCATCGGAACGCCGAAAAGGCGACTAGGCCAAAATCCGTCCAAAACCATCGTAAAATTTATGATTTTGGTCTCTCGGGGCCCTCTTGTGAGGCCTCTGGGAGGCAACTTGGAGGCCTCTTGGGCCGTCTTGGGGTCGTCTTCGGCGTCTTGGAAGGCTCTTTGGTCGTCTCTGGGGCCTCTTGGGCAGTCTTGGGGGCCTCTTGGGGCCCTCTTGGCGCGCTCTGGGCGGCCTCAGAGACCCCACCCAGGAGGAAAACCATCTCTGACAAGGGGTGGCGGGCGGCGGGCGGGGTACTTTTTGGCCGGGGCACCCCCAGGGGCCGCCCAGCGCGCGCGAACTAGAATATCATTAACCAGTTACCGGAGATCGTAGCACGCCTCTGGCCCGTTGGGCCGCGAATTTACCAAACTGTACGGTTTGGCTTCCCTAGTCTTGCAAGGTTCCCCAGCCTGGGGCATGCACATTGCTCAGCCTCCGAAGGCCTTCCTGATTTGCCTGGCGACTCTTCGATTCGCTCTGCAGCTGCCGCATCGTTGACTCGAGCAGGGATGGTCGCTCTCCCGTCTCCTCCGGATCAAGTAGACAATGTTGGGCCGCAGACGCTGGTCACACAAGAAACGCCTGGCCTCAGACACCTTGCGATAGCCCTGATGGGCGCACCGCTCGCAGGCCTTCAAGACCTGAGACCTCCTCCCCGCACCCCCGCGGCAGCTCCTCCCGGGACCCCCCTCGGCACGAGGCGCACGCGGGAGCCTCCGACGCGGACGCATGGCTGGCGGCGGCCCTGACGGACCTGGACCATGGCCCCAGCTGCCCTCTGCCTCTGGGCTGCCCCGCGGCGGCCACCGGGGGCCCCGGGAACGGCCGAACACCGGAGGGTGGATCTCACAGCTCGCCCTCGCCACGGAGCCTCGGTCCTGCAAGATCGAGGGGCATCGAGGCTTTTGCTCCTCGGGACCCCGTCTCGCGGGAGGGGGGGTCTGTCTGGTCGCCGTGGGTGTTGGGCCCTGACCCCTGGCGAAGCGCTGCGCAGGCACCCAGCTTTCGCGCAGAAGACCGCCGTCGGCCGGTGGGCCACAAGGGGTCCATGATCGAAACCGCCAACGCATCCCCAGAGTTCTTCACCACCCACCAAACCACCCCAACCCAATCCGAAGGCTCAGATTTACCCTCGATTTCTAGTGGGGGGGTGTCGGGAAACATCGAAAAGACACATGTGGAACCCATCCCCCCCCAACCCGAAATTCGGGTCTTCGGGTTGGGTTGGGGTGGTCTGGTAGGTAGTCAGCTCTGGGGAGGAAGGTCTGCTCTCGGCCGCCCACGCGGGCGCGAAGAGGAGCGCGCTCTGCGGCCCGGGGGCGGCCGCGAGCTGGCCTCCTCCACGGGTTTGGGGGGGGGAGAGGCGGCGCGAGAGCCCTCAGAGTGCCGCGGCTCGCACGGTGCGACGCGCGGCGCCAGGCGACCCGGCTCCGTGAGGCCGTTCCTGGGCCCGGCCCTCCTCGGCCCTGCCCGGCGGCGACGTCCGAACCCTGCCTCCCCTGCCTCCCGTCGGCTCGGGAGAACCGACGGTTGGTGGCCCGACCAACGGGACAGGCAGCCCGATGGGCAGCGGGGTGGGGTTCGGAATGCGTCGGGCACGCGGCGACATCCGGACCCTATACCCCCGCCTCCCATCGACTCCGGAGAGCCGATATGGTCGGCAGGCAGGGTTCGGATGTCGCCCCCCATGCGGTCGGGAACCTCTGCTCGGCGCGTCGCCCCGCCAGCTTTGGCCCACCTCGCTGCGGTGCGACACGCGGTCCGCTTCCCCGCCCCCGCGTGCCAACGTCTCGGGCCTCCCCGAGCCCCCCCGCCCCGCGGAGCGGAGCGGCACGCCATCCGCTCGCATGGCGCAGCGCGTCGCCGTCCCAGAGTTCCCGAGCGTACCTGCCCGCCGCGGGGCCGCCGAGCGGCAGTGGCATCAGCGTCGCCCCCGCGCCGCGGCCAGCGCCGCCGCCGGCACCGCCGGCGCCGCCGATGCGCGCGCCGGACACGGCGGCGCCCGCTCCTGCCACGGGGTCCAGGCCCTCCCTCTGAGAGAGGGGGGGGAGAGGGGGGGAGAGAGGGAGAGGGTGATCGTGGTAGAGAGGGAGAGAGGGAGAGAGAGAGAGAGAGAGAGAGACTCAGAGAGGGGGAGTGGGAGACAGAGAGAGACAGAGAGAGAGACATTGAGAGAGGGGAGGGGGATGGGAGGGAGGGAGGGAGTGAGAGAGACAGAGAGAGAGAGAGACAGAGAATGGGAGAGAGAAAGAGAGAGAGAGAGAGACAGAGAAAGAGAGCGTGTGGCTGTCCGGAGGCCTGGGCATGCAGGGGCTGGCCTCGGGTCCCAGGGCCGTCCGTTTTCTGAGGACATAGAAGGGGGGGGGCGCGAGGGCTGCGGCTTACGAAGAAGGCGGAAGGGGTTCTCCCTCCCTCCCTCCCTCCTCCTCCTCCTCCTCCTCCTCCTCCTCCTCCTCCTCCTCCTCCTCCTCCTCCTCCTGTTCGGCCTCGGGGTGCCCCCGCCAGGCCCGCGGGGCCGTCTGAGAGCAGCTCCGGGTGGAGAGCCGCCCCCGGGGAGGTCCAAACCTCTGGGGTCGGGGGTGGACAGACCTCCTACCCTCGGGTCGGGCGAAAAGGGGGGTTTGGGAAAGGGGGGGTTACGAAATCTGCTGCATGCAGCTGGTTTCGGCCCCGCCGCCGGGCCCATTCCTCGATACATGGGCGCCTCCCGGCGCCGGGAGGCGCCGGGGAAATCAGCTACGTGAGCTGATTCTCAAACCCCCCCTTTGCTATCCCCCCCTTTCGCCCGACCCGAGAGACGGCCCCGGAGGCTTCTGCGGAGGTTTCTGGGGAGCCCCTCAAGTCTCCGACTGGGCCCCCTGCTCTCTCAGACGCCACGCCGCCTCGCTCGAAGGCCGCCCCCCTTGCGCGAACCCTGCGGGGGCGCCGCCAAGCCAGAGCAAGACCCGCGACGAAGAGGCTCCGCCCCCGGGGCTGGGGCCTGGGCGCTCCTGGGGGGGGGGGGGCCCGCGCAGCGAGAGGAGGGTGGCGTCAGAGGTCCAGGGGGAGAGCGCGGCCCTGCCCCGCGGGGGGACCCGGCCATTCCCCGACGTCGTGATGCTGTTCGTTAAAATGGGGTGGGGGGGAGGAAGGATGGAGGAGGGAAGCCAAGGGCTCCCACGAGGGCGCGAAGTTATTCGCGCTTCGCGGTCCTCGTTCCTTCTCTCCTTCCTCCTCGTCCTCCTTTTCTCCCTTTGGGGGGGGCGGCGCGAGAGCGCGAAGTTATTCGCGCTTCGCGGAGCGCGAAGCGCGAAGTTAGGAGCCCTTGAAGGATGGAGGAGGGAAGCGGGATGGAGGAGGAGGGGGAGGAGGGTAAGGAGTCAGGATGAGAGGAGGGCGAACCGCAGCTCCGCGAGCAGGGTGTCGGGTCGAGCGGCCCTGTCTTCCAGGCACGGGCCGAGCCGCCCCAGGCTGTCGAGGGCCGCGACGCGCGTCGACGAGTGGGGCGGGGGGCAGAAGTGCCGGAAGGCTGGTGGTCCAGCAGGGGGAGGGAGTTCACGGAGTTCATCCTGGCGGGACTCCCGAGCTCAAGTGCAGGCCCTATTACGGTCAGGAACTCTGGCTTGGCGGGTCGCGCCGCGAGTTCTGGCCCACCACGCCTCCGGCGCGACAGGCTGTCCATTTCTGGCCCCCAGGCGTCAGCGCCCCGAGCCGTTCCCAGCCTTCGGGCCCGCGGAGCGGAGCGAGACGCTATCCGCTGGGGCTGCCGCCGGGCCGCCGCCGCAGCACGCGAAGCAAGTCTTCCCGACCGCAGAGACGTCCATTCAGTGGACCAGTGGTGCGGCCCTTGAGCCGTTGCTTGCCTGGACGGGCCGCGGGTGCGTTACTTTCTCCGTACTTGGGCCTCGAGTCGGGCTTGCCCCGTCCGCTCAGCCCTGCCCAGGGACTTTGCCGATGAGGACCCGCCCTTGCACCCTCGACTGCGAATCTGAGCCAATACTCCTTCCGCCCCGCGGGTCTGGGGGAAAACAACTTCATGGAAGCAGGCTTTTTCTTAGAAGGCGCGGGCCTTTGTTACAGATGTAGTGCCGGCGCCTTCTAAGAAGCAGCCTCATTCTAAGAAGCCTTCCCCCCTTCCCCTACATCGCTGCGCGCGCCGCCACTAATCTCCCCCTAATCCCACCTTTCGGCCCCCGCCTACCCTCCCTCCTCTTGCCCCGCTTCGACTCCCCTCCCTTCCTTCTCGTGCTCCTCCCTCCCCTCCCCTGATCTCCTCCTCCCTTCTCCCCATCGTCCCTATCGTGAAGTTTCTTACGGAATTCCTCACAGCCCCGACCCTTTCCCCAGGGCAGGCGTTGAATCCAGAGTACGTCTTACGGTCCCGTGGAACGGTGAGGGCCCCCCGGGGAAGAACCGCTACATGATGTTGTGCTCGTGACGGGGTACTCCGCCAACTTTGCTCCTGATGGATAACTTCTTCATGGCGCGCCCCGAGACATGCCTGATTCGGTTGGCCGGGCGTTTCGCTTGGGAAACCTTGGCCCATCGATGACCTTGAGATTTGAAACTGGCAGCAGCTACATTGATGGAGGGGGGGTCCTTTAAAAATGGGGTTCTCGCTCCAGCTCCGTTCACGTTCGTTGTAGAAGGCTGCAACGCTTACATGTGTGCAAGAGGGAGGACGACACAGCTTGTCACAGTCATAAGGATGTATGTCGTTTTTTTTCACAACGGGGCACTCGCCTCAGCGCCACGCACAACTGTTGTACAAGCGTGTAACCGTTGCAAGGATGGAGAGCGGGCTCTCATTGAACAAGGGCTCTCGCCTGCGCGCCGTGCACATTCGCTTGAAAAGCTGACACCAGTTATAATCATGCAGGGATGGTGTGCGCAGCGATGCGCACATTCGCCGCAGCAGTTTCACAATACGGCTCCCGCCCCAGCGAGGTGCACATTCGCTTCAAAAAGTTGCAGCAGTATTTTTTGCGGAGGGAGGCTCATTTTTGAAATGGGGGTCTCGCCTGGGCGCCGCGCACATCCGCGTTGACAGCTTGCAGCAGGTACAAGGATGGAGTTTGGTTCTTATCCAATTTAGATCTCTCCCCCAAGTGCCGTGCACACTCGTCTTCAACGTTTACAGCAGCTGTATGCACGGAGGGCGGTTCCGTTTCACATTGTTGTTAGCAGGGCGGTTTTACGTCAAGGTCGGGCTCTCACATTACATTCCCGCAGATGTAGCAACGTATGCACAAGTTGCGCCGGTGGTGGGCGGTTCCTTTGCAAAACGAGGCCCTCGACACAGCCTGAAACGTGATGATCCCAGCATCTCGCATTCCGTATAATTCGCAAGACTGGTGCACGGCATTTTCTGTTCCCCAAACAGTGCTCTGCTTCAACGGGGCAGTTCTCGTTATGAGACAGACGGGGGCTCGGGACGCGAGTGTGTCCTGCAGCATCGTTGGACATATGATATACTTCCTGGTCCAGTTCTGACAAAGCCCTGGCCGCGGGCGCCACCACTTGCCTGGCCCCCGCCCAGGAAGAGAAGGCAAGGCCTTTCGCGAAGTGTTCCTCCTCCGTCTTTCATCCTCCCGGAAGTGTCGCACATGGTCGATTCGACATTGCGTTGTTTTTGTCGCTGCAGAATTTCGGAGCCGCCCGCTCCCGAGCAGCTCTTCGGCGGGCCCTTGGGGTCGGGGCCGTGCCGTGCAGAGTCAGCCGACAACGACGTTCGCGCGATAGCCCACCAGCTCCCTCCTCCTTCCGCCTCGCCCGCGCCGTGTGGGCCTGATTCCCCATGGCAGCTCTGGTCTGCTCAGTGCTGGGCGCCCCTCAACTGAGGGGCGGCCAGCCGAAAAAGTGTCACTGCGGCGGCATTCGTTAACGAACGTGCCCAGCAGGTTTCAGACACTGTGGGATCCCTTATCTGATGAGGGCGGTGGTGACATCCATGGCTAAGCCTCAGTTGGGTCGACCGGCTTCCAGACCCTGGATTCCTTATCCAATGGGTCTTTTTGTCCGTTACTCTCGCTGTATCCCTCGGCACTCGATGAGAGAGCTGCTGCATCAAGACGGGCACAGCGTGCTCGCTGATGCCGCTTCCAGCCGACCTCCGCCTCCGCCATCTCGTAGCCAGTGCCGAAAAACCTGGAACCCCCAGGGGGGCGGGCTCATGGCTCCTGCCTGCCCCCTCCCAGCCAGAGGAAGGAGGTAGCGAGGCTTCTCGCGAAGCTTCACTTCCTCCTTTCACCCACGCTACTTGCTGTTGGATGGATCTCTCAAGCTCTCCGCCGCCTCAAGCGGTGTGCGTTCAAAGCAGGAGCACCGCAAATCGACATGACATTGTGGCATTGACAGAGTAACTCCGCACACGTGTCAAATGCTTCAGCGAGAAAGAACACAGCAACCCCCAGGGAAGCCTTTCGCGAAGATCCTCCCCGCTTCCCAGCGCTCCCTCCCTCCCTCCTTTCCTCCCTACCTCCTTACCTCCCTCTTTCCTCCCTCCGCCACCTCGCAGCCAGTGCTGAAAAACCTGCGGCCCCCAGGGCGACGGCGGGTTTCGGCGCAAGCCTGCCCCCTCCTGGCCGTAGGGAGGAGGCGGTGAGGCCCATTGCGAAGAGCCTCTACCGGGAGCACCCCGAGGCGCTCTGCTCGGGGTCGTCGTCTCCATCGTCGTACAGTCCTGACCTCCTCGCGCCGCGACAAAAACCACGACGGGGGCTTAACAGTTTTCGCCCTCGGGGGGCCCTTGCCATGCCCCGTGGCCGTCAAAATAGGACTCAGGATGAAAAGCCGGTCCAGGGGAATGGGCCAATACCATTGGGGGCCCACGTTGTGAATCAATCACGACGTCGCAGGTCGTTTGAGATCGGAGGATGTTGAATTTTTGTAGTTTTTGGTTTGGCTGCCAGGTTGCCTCGCGTCGCCACGGCTGGAGTTATTGGGACTTCCGGTCAAGATGCACTGCAGGACAGATTTTTGAAGGCGATCTCCCATGGGGAGGAGGAGGAAGAAGAGGAGGAAGAGGAGGAGGAGGAGGAGGAGGAGGTGGAGGGGGAGGAGGAGGAGGAGGAGGAGGAGGAGAAGGAGGAGGAGGAGGAGGAGGAGAACCATCCCGAGGCTCCCCGCAGAGGGGGGGATGCGCCCCTCGTGGTCCGCCGCACCTGATCCTTATGTCATTATTCTCCGTTGTCCCCCGCCTCATCACCAGCCGCCCGTTCTCCTGCTCCCGCCCTCGTCTTCACCCTCCTCCTCCTCCTCCTCCTCCTCCTCCTCCTCATGCTCATCCTCTTTTTGACCTGATGCTGCTCATCTTCCTACTATTCCTCTTCTTCCCCCTACTCTTCCATCCCTTTGCATAACAAGTACGACCTCCCTGTTCTACCCCCGACGTGTCGTCAGGCCTGGCCAGGCGGTTCGCCTGAGACCTCTTCACGATCTATGATTCCGAAGTTTGAAATGTGGAACAGCTTCAAGAATGGAGGGCGGGTTATTTTCACAATGTGGCTATCGCCTCAGCGCCGTGCACATTGTGTTCGAAAGTTTGGAAAAGGTTCAATCATGGATGGCTGCTCCTTTTCAAAGTGAGGCTCTCCCTCTAGCACCGCGCGCACTCGTTTTAAAAGTTTGCAGCTGCTTCAAACACGGAGGGTAGCTCACGTTCAACACATGGCGTTCGCTTCAGCCCCGCGCGCATTAGATTTTAAAGTGCGCAACAGTTTAAAGGATGGAGGTCGGGCTGGTTTCAAAGTGTGGCTCTCGCCATAGCGCCGCGCAGATTGTGTTGAACAGTTCGCAGCAGTTTCAAGGACGGAGAGCTGCTCCTTTTCAAAGTATGGTTCTTGCCATAGCGCCGCGCACATTGGCTTGAGAAGTTCATGGCAGCTTCAAGGTTCGAGGACGGCTCCTTTTCATGATGCGGTTCTCGCCTTAGCGCCGCGCACCCAGTTTGCAGCAGTTCGCAGGGTTCGTGGGGCTGACGTCCCAGAAGTGGTGTCCTGGCACGATTTAGGATTTGCCGGGGCGCAAGCAACAGTCGCTTCAAATCGAGGCGTTGAAGTCCCAGGCATGGTGGCCTGGCACGATTGGAGACTCCCTGGCGGCTGTATTCCAATCAGGCACCTCCCGCCATGGGAGCAAGCACGTGTATCGGGAGGAGTGCAGAGCCCCAACCGACGCGTCGAGGCCGAGGGTCGCTGGAATGCCTCCCACCGGAGCCACGTGCGCCTACAGCTCTCGGAGGTGGATCGGCCTCCCACCCTGACACGTCGATTCAGGAATTGGCCGTTTTCGGTTCGCGAGAGGGCGTCGCGGCCGACACTCTTGCGGGTCCAGGTCCGTCGGTTTCGGTCCCAGGCCGTTTTCACGAAATGGAGGCTTACTAAAGGGAGGTTTGTCCACCGCCGAAGTTCTCAGACCTTGAAACGTATCTTGCCTCGTGACGGGGCTGGCCGTCCAGTAGAGCTGCTTGTTGACAGGGCGGGTGTTGAGGCAGCCGCACGTAAATTCTTGCGGCGTGGGTCCTCGGAGCCATCCGATGGGGCTGGAATCCTTCTCAGACCTGGCCTTGGGGAGGGGGACCTGGGAGTCTTTAATCTCGTCGTATTCAAGCCCGAGAGAGATGGAAGCAGGACGTTCCCAGAATGCATGGGACGCATTTTCCCTGGGGGCGGGGGGGAGGGCGCAGCGCCAGCAATCAGTATTGCCTGCCATGCCTGTTTGAAACCTCTGGGTGCCTTTCCAAATGCACCCTCGAGCAATAGAGTAGGCAGCCGTGCACAAGTGTTTGGAACTCCTCGTCCACCCCGTGACGTGCGCCTGAAACTGATGAGCGCTAATTCCTGCTCTTCCCTTTTATCCGCAGCACTATCCTGATGCCTTCCCCCAGTACTTTTGGCGATGCATGTCGTGAGCTCGGAGAACTGATCCACCTCCAGGGGCCTTGGAGATCCCTTTTAAAGTTAATCAAGTCGGCCTGGACAGATGACATCAAAGTGAACACTGTATTACATTTTCTTGTATCTAGTAGGCGTCGATAAGTATTTGACGAAGCCCTCTGAACCCCGTTATGAAGATGTTCCTCCTGGTTCAGGATGTTGAGTTAGATCTCCAGACACCCCAGAGGAATACAGAACCCAGGGTCGGTTTGGAGGCTGCCTTGGGGAGATGACGCGTACCCAGCGGATATACTTCCCGTGCTAGCTACCTCTGCGGCTACTTCGGATAGCACAGCGGCCCGAATCACACCATTGCCGGTGATGGCCTGATCCCAGAAGCCCGCGGATCCCCAGCTCCTGGTCGTGAATTCGGCACTGAAGCGTTTGCCTTGGACCCGATGCCGGCCCACCGTGAGGGCAAGAGGTCGGTCGGCCTCGGTTTTTTTTGTGCTGAAGGAAGATCAGGTCAATCAACACCTGGCGAGGTAGCTGTTGCTGCCAACATACGGTAGGTTCGCGCGGCGTTGGCGCGCCGGCGACGCCGGCGAAGGCGTTCAAGGTTGAATTCTGCGACGCGGAAGCACGGAGAGACACGATAACGCCATTGGGCCCAACGGAATTCAACCTTGAACGATCGGGGCCGCGATCGATTCAAGGTTGAGCGCTCGACGCGGTGTCAAAAACCTTTGCGCGCGCCGACGCCGCACGAACCTGCCGTATATGGTTAGCACGGGTTAGCACGTTTCGTGTGCTCCTGTCCTGTGCCCCGCGCTGACCATACAGACGTGAGCATCGGCAGGTTCATCGTCGCGCCCTCTCCTTTCGCCTCCTCCTTCCCATCTCCAAAAGATGCGATGGAAAAAAAAAAAAAAAAAAAGGTTAGCACGTGTCGTGGAGTCGTGTCCCCCTCCTGCAGAGGACGAGCGTCTCGCACCCGCCAGCCCTCCTCGCCAGGCGCGGCAGACCGGCGTATGGAGGACAAAAGGCGTCGAAGAGGGCATCTGCTCCCCTAGCCGTGGTAGGCAAGCTGCCAGTTCCCGGTGGCCTTCTGACGCACTTCCCAGGAGATCTTAGGGTTATATTTCATAGTGAAAAAAAAATGACGCACTTCCCTGACCCAGGTGGGCTCGACGGGAGCTGGGTGGCTCCTTCTTTGGGAGCCCCATTGGTTCATCCAGAAATCCAGCTTCATGTTCGTGACGGGGAAGGAGTCTGTGAGGACTTGACCCTGTCAGGCCCAACAGGGACCTCCAGTGGTTCAGGATGATCTCCAGGGGCTTTGGTGATGGCATGGGCCACCCCTCCCACTTTCTTCATAGATTCCAGAACAAACCGCTTAAACTCGTTCCCATACTCTTTGAGCTCAATAGCGTGGTAGGCTGGGTGGGCCCGATCCAAGATGTCCCTCCCGTTCGCCTGTGTGTCCGAGTCGGCGTACCCTCAAGATACATATACCACCACCCTTCGTTGATAAGGAGGTTGGGAGGTGGGGTGAAACAGCCAGCTGCTGGCAAAAACGATCGGTGTGATGATGACGATGCTGGTGATGCGCCCTTGAGTCAGCGACGATGCGTGATGACGATGTTGCGCTGCGATGTAGTGTCAATATCGTCCCCGCTTTCGATCTCACTCGATCGATCCCACTACCGACCTCGCGGCCAGTCTTCGTACCAATGGATTCAGAGATCTCACAATCGATTCCTCGATCGATCCCACTATCGATCTCACAACCAATGCCACAATCAACCTCACTGCCGATCTCACGTTCGATTTCACTATCCATCCCAGTCTGGCGATCCCATTATCGATCTCACGATCGACTTCACCATCGATACCAAGGCGGGAAACTCCGGGCCACCGCCGCCTACCGCCGACAGAACACCGACGGGACACCAGCGGGCCACCAACGGGACACCACGGCGGGACAGCACGGGCCACCGCGCGCCTTGAGGGGCGATCCACTGCGTCCCAATCGCCCCAGCGACGACAGGGCCGGTCCTCCCACGCGCCCACGCAGATTTCCCTCGCACGCGCGCACGACACGAATACGGCACTAAAACCGATGTCCAGGTAGGGGGGCTCTCCGTTCCACCGCGATCTCATCCTCCAACATCCGACCTGTCCAAAGTACAGGAGTCCTCAGAGGCTAAGTTTGGAAAGATCATGCGCCCTGGCAGTGGGGCCGTGCAGGCGGCGGAAATGCCGGCAAAACTTGGGATCGTTAGATTGTTTGATGTGGTCCCGTTCTTTGCCGCCCAGGGCCAGGGTCGCAACTTGGGCGGCGATCGACTTGGCGTGCCCGTGCTTGGGCGCTGGCGGGAGGAGCGGCTTCCAGGCGAAAGTGGGGCACGAGCCACGTCCTGCAGTCAGCGTCACGCAGTGCAACTTCGCGTTGATGAATCTGAGCGGCCCTGTACAGAACAAGAAAACGTGAGGTAAGGTCGTCGTCATGGCGACCAGAACACGTCGGATACTGGGCATATTGGTTTTCTCCTACTTGAAGGTGAGCTCTGCCACAGTAGGCCGCCTCATAGGGCAAATAGCAACCGGGAGGGGGGCTGACTTTTCCAGGGTCCAGATCTGTTTGGTAAACACATCGGCTTCCAGGTCTGGGGACAACCCAGTGTGTGGACTCCAGACGCTCCTCAAGTCCCCTTTGATTTTTAGTGCTATGACTAGGACGGTGGACCACGATAAAGTAGTGAA